GAAATTTTTGCAAGGAGGAATGTAAAAATATTTTATAGCAGAAGAGACATAGTATAAAAAAACCCCTTCCTACTTCCAAAATTGTTAAAAGTTTTGCTTAACCTCCTCACGCCGGCTGCACATATATGTGTAAACAACTTACCGTGCTGATGCTCCCTGCACAGTAGCCGGCGGGGATCGATAAGCTCCCTATACATACTTGTGATTGGGAGCTTTCCAATCATGTGACCGCTGTGACAGCCAATCACAGCAGTCACATGACCCAAATGCTGACTCCTGGCTTTTAGAACTATTAAAGGGCTGGGAGGCGGTCAGCTCAAAAGGGGTTAAATAGTCTACAATATGTAATGGGTGTTGTTTTATTTTCAGTTGTTGGTGCTTAAATATGGAAGGTGCTTAAAATAGGGTGGGAACAGTAGTTTGAGGATTTATTTTACAGGATTATTTTAACTGCAGAATTAAAGTTTATCTACAGCCCAAACTTTTTTCTTAGTTTTGGATGGAGTGTGGAATAGATAGGACCTCTATCAGACTGTTACTGCAGTCTGCTTCCCCACTAGGGAGATTCACCTTCTCTTTCTGTCCTGGTCATCAATGTCAGTGGCAAGCATGGTAATGAGAAATCCAGAATTTTACGGTTGTTATCGAACAGGTTGTATCTCCAACAAAGGAAGGAAATAAATAAATAAATAAATAAATAAAGGGACAGCAAATATAACCATGTGTCTATCTAAAACTAAAGTAGTTGTTTTTGTTTTAGTTATACTTTAACTACAGGGAGATCCATGGCACATGGTGTACTGTCTGGCAGGGTTGACTGGATCACAAGACTGGCTAACCAGATAACTACAGGGAGATCCATGACATGGTGTACTGTCTGGCAGGGTTGACTGGATCACAAGACTGGCTAACCAGATAACTACAGGGAGATCCACGACATGGTGTACTGTCTGGCAGGGTTGACTGGATCACAAGGCTGGCTAACCAGAACTACAACGGCTTTGGTCAGATGGCCAGTTGGAGTTCAGTTTTAATGTGCTCTAAAGTACAGATGACAGGTTCACATTCATAGGAGTGCAGTATTTTGCTGTAAAAGAACTCCATGATGTCTTAGGGCGAGTACGTTGCAAGAATCTGTTCTCTTCACCTGTTATATAAATAACCTCTTGGAATAATTCTGTCTCAAAGTATTAGTCCTACGGAAAGATGCAACAAAGCAGTCACATATTGTATGTGAACAACCAGCTGTTTTCACAAAGTCAATCTACCAAACACCCAGAAGTTTGTTCTGGAGAGCTAATGACTTACTTCCATTATGCCATTGGGATACTATTGTAGATTTTTAGCAGTCGCAAATTCGTTATTATACAATTTAGGTGAATAATATATTTAATGAAACTTCCATGTTTTATATGCTTGTTCGATATTTTGACAATTGTAATTTATACATATATTTGTAAATTTTCCCTCTGGTAAATGGCTGCTGAGATAAGATTATTAACCACACAGAGTTTGACTAGTTTAATTAAACTAAATTAAATATACTTGCAAAGACAGAGGAGTAAGACACAATCATTCTGTATTTCTACTAACAAAGAATATGCAATGAGCGAATATAGCTGCTCCCATATATAGTACACATATAATTACAAATTATATATGGAAATAAAGATAAGATATAAAAACACATGCACTGACAAGATCACTTTTCTAAAGCAGGTCACATTACAGTATGTATTTGAAAAAATTATTAAAAAATATAGATTTACTATAGGCGCACACTAATACTCATATCAGTAAATGACACAGTGTCCCTTTATCTATTCCAATTAAGTCTTTTTGTCTATGTACAAAACTCTTCAAAGACAATGAATCCCTTCAACGCCACACACCTTTGGACAGTCCTTTGGGAGTGTAAATGAAAGGGCCAGTCCACCTCAGGGGCGGACTGACAACTCATGGGGCCCCCGGGCAATAGGGGATCATGGGGCCCCTGTGTCCTTGCCCAAACTCAAAAAAGCCTATGAAAAAGGTACCAGGGGCATCTAATGGGGCCCCCTACTGATCCCGGGCCCTCGGGCGGTGCCCGAGTTTCCAAATGGTCAGTCTGCCCCTGGTCCACCTTGACCTTTGTAGAAGCTATCGTTCTGTCACCGTTATTCCCCATCAAATCTCTGTAATTCAGAGGGTGGCCTCACATACTGTTATAGTATTTAGTTTTACTAAAAATGTCTTAGTTGTGTTTCTGACTTCCTTAGATTTTTGTGGACTAAGCTTTTCTTGTATTAATGTTATATACAAATGTCAGCTTTTGTGACACTCCTAAATTAATGAAAGTAATAAAAAATTATATACAACCATAAAGGGTCAGTCCACCTAAAACTGACAAGGAAGTCTTAAAACCTCTGGGTTATACTGCTGCCCACAGGAGGATTTGACACTGGCAAACAAAAACTATAGGCCAACCCAAGGTTCAACCCTTCCTATTATCTGCATGCTTCAGTTATCTGCTAGTGTCCTAAGAGGATGGACATCTTTTTTCAGCAGTGCAGTTTTAAAGACAAACCTGTGATTTTTCCTAGCAACTTTTTCTTCTTCTTCGGTAAAGATTCTTCTCAACAACTGTTAGTGGCACTGACTCAAAACTATCCAGCGCGGCCTTCCTCAGCCTACATTTTGGACTGTATCTCAAATGAATAACACTGGACTGAATGTTGCAGGGTGTGCCTGGAAGTGACTCTTAGACACTTTGCTCCATGTGGGTTCCTTGCAGATTGGAGGTTCCAAGTGCCATAGTTTTGTACCAAGATTTGGTGCACACGAGTCTGTTTTAGACCTTGGGTCTTAAACGACTCCTAAGACTGCAAAGATGTTCCTTGTGTACTTGCTCTTTTTAGTTATTTCTGTACCAAAACTGTACCAAAACTGGAAATGTTCTGATAGGCTGTTTGCTCCATCTAAGGGCTTAGTGTCTCTGTACCTGCTTAGTGAACATTTTGAAAAGTGGTCCATTCCCACTGTGGTTTCAGACATTGCTCACCTTGAATACTTTTAGATACCCAACTGATAAGTGGCTGCAGGCCCTTTGGAAAACTATGTTCTCATTGGCAGGTCTCTCCATACAACTGATTTTGGTTGTAATTGTACTTTGACAAACCATGTCAGATTGGTTCAAATCCCTTAAAAGGGATCTAACTTTATTTGAGCGTGTGGAACAGATGTCTATGACATTAACCTTTACTGTGATGGCCTGTTAAAAGTCTCCTGGCTTATTGCTTGCATTAGCATATTGTCAGTACAAAACACTTTTTTTATCTAATTTTGTAAGAGGGAGTGGGATGGAGTAAGATAAAATTAAGTTGCTTTCCTTTAACCCTTCCTATGTGCCCTCAACAACTTGCCGATGTCCATCGGGCACTCTCTCAACTACAGGACCAGGAGGTCATATCCCCAGTCCCTGCTGCAGGTTTCAGGGGTTTTACTTAAACCTGTTTACTGTCCCAAAACCTAAAGGGAAAATTCACCCCATCTTGGACCTCTGAATTTTTACATTCAGCCCCCAAATTCCATATGAAATCAACCAGATCTGTCATTGGCTCCCTTTACCAGGAAGACTTCCTAGCTTCAGTGGAAATAAAATGTGTAAGGGCTCTTGAGGGCAATTGGTCTTTGACTGTCCAGATGTTGAAGAGCTTCAAGAGGACTTAACTCTTGATGGCTGGTGCAGGAAACTTGGTCATCTGAGGAATCACATATTCTTATCAACATAGTGGCACTTCTGGACATCAAGCTGTCCTTTTAGCTTTGGAGCAACCTGCTGGAGGGCCATTAAAGTCCAGTTGAACAATGTCAATGCAACCATGCCCCTGCAAGAGAGGTAGAGCTGATCCTGTTCTGGGTAGAACTTTCTGTTTCAGCTATGTCAGTTGTTTATACTCCCAGTGTGCAGAAATGGCTGGCAGATGCCCTAAACTGGCAGTATCTGGACATGAAAAAGTTTTTTTTTTTTTGCAGCCATCACCTTGGCTAGCCAAGTGTCTGAGCTTGTGGCTTTGTCTTTCAAGGAACCCTTTTTGGTCTTACACGAGGCCTATTGTGTTCTGCAGTCACTTGGGGATCAGTGTGAGAAACCATTAAGCACCATGCGTGACTAAGGATATCAACATATCAACGCTTTTGGGTTTTTTTTTCAGAAACTTTAGCAAACAATTCCTCTTGACTGAAACAGTATGTAGCAGCAAGAAAGGTTTACAGTCTTCTTTAAAGAACAGTGCTGAGGAGACTTGACAATGCGTTGATGACTTGACAAAGCGCATGTGCGTGAAACACATTATCGTGGCAATCATCTCAGCTTGTGGTTCAGCCTGGTAGGGTGGCCGACTTCCGCTTCCTCCTGGGACCTGTGACATCAGTTACGGTGCACCGTGGTCCCCAGTCCAGTCAGCTTGTTTCTAGTGATCACCTTGCCTTACCATCTATTCTGGTGCAGGGGCTCAGGTGAGCGGATATTCCATCATGGCCACACATTGGGTTCAACGCTGTTATTGGAGGATTATATGCTTCTTTTAATGCTTCTATTTATGGAATAAATTTATACCCCTTCTGAAGTACCTTGTGGGGTCATTACTAAGTCTCCTCAGTGCTATTCTTTTGGATTTTATTTATCACTTCTTTTAGTGCGGCATTAGCAGCTGAGGATCAATTGGCTTCCAACAATCTGGGATTTCAGTGCTTAGATCTTTTGTTGTTAGTCTTCTTTAAAGGCACTGCTTTAATTTGAACATTTAGAAACAGAGTTAATTTAACCTGTAACCTATCTCTTGAAATAAACCCTCATTTTATACTCAACTTTGCACAAAACCCCTGAAAACCTAGCCCCAACCTTAACCCCTGGGCTAGATTCACATATGCACTATAAAGAGAGTACTTGGCAGGTTAAAATAGCCTGCCAAACGCTTCTCTTTTTAATGTATTTTCTTATTATCCCTCTCACAATGTACCTTGGCCTTCTTGAGCAACTGCTGTAGATCTTGTTGAGGCAGCAAACCATGATTTTTGACAAACGCAGGAACCTCAGGGGGCCTCTGGGTCTCGAAATAAACCGTCCCGTGCACTTCCATGTATTTGTGTAGAACGGACAAAAACTTTTCCTTACCCTGGAAATGAAGGGAACAATTTAATTAGTAGGAGCAGGTAAAAATCTTTTAATCAGCATTAAATTGTTTTCATCGTATTCACATCAAGAATCCAGAGATCCTTACCCTGTGAAGATATTTTTTCTCTATATTATGAATGTGTTGCACGTGTGACTGCATTGTAAATGATATGTCACATATGTCTTCTGTGATTGATGCTTTCCCAGACAAATTTAAAATGAATCACGCTGGGCTAATGATTCTAGCACTGAGTGTAGTTCTGGTACAGCTAGCACATGATCTGTTCCATGTAACAGGATTAACTGGATTAATTTTATATTGATTACTCTCTGGCTAGTGGCTTAAAGGACACCTATCATGAAAGAAATGCATAGGCTGCCATTGCTGAACTCCTGAAAAATGCGGCCACCTGACAAACTGATCTTCAGGCTTCAATTCTTTCACTGACCAAGAACAAGTGTGCACATCAAAGGTTCTGACGTTATTTGCTGTGGGCTTGCTCCATGCCAGCGACACAGAACATATAATGGCCGGAGGACAACTCAACAATTGGCATTTTAAGATTTCTTTGTCCATGTTTTTGTCCAAGCCTGCTGATCCTCTAAAGGTCTTTCCAGGAGAAATTTGCAATTTACTGGCTAAGGTTTCTTTACCAATAGCCTTCATTCCTTGGGATAAGAGTCACATCTAGGTTTCCTTAGTATATACAGCTGTTATGTAAGCAAGTCACCTATGCACTATGCACTTGATGGGTGGAGGGAGGTAAGTGCCCACTGGTTGGAACAGTTGCACCATGTCCAAACATCATATTAAAGTGTATCTATACCCAAGAACAAAAATGTAATATTGCAGCCTAAATTATAAAAACCGGGATGCCCTGATCAATGAATGATAAGAGGTCAACAACAGGGTTCCAAAAAGGGAATTCCCAAATAGTAATACATCAAACTCACTGACTCACTAAGGAATACCCAAAGTGGTATCCTCAGAACCAATCATGACTAGCAAAAAAGGGGAAAAAGACCTAAGGAAAGGGGTCCAAAGGTCAAGGGGTCCCAATGAGGACAATCTTAGATTTAAATATTTTATTGCAAAATATAAAAATAACATAAATTCAGATAAAGTACAGACCCAACCACCACCAACAGAAAATGGCATGAAGATGGGAGATGTTATGGTGTATCCAGGGTGACAGCCCATGCTGAGAAGTCCCAGCGCCTCAGATGGAAAGAAGTGGCAGGAACCATGAGGTGAATAGATTGATATGAAAGGATAGTCTGGATGACAGGCTCAAGAGTAAGCATGGAATGCAAACAGCAATCAATAAATTGGCACAAATGGTCACAATAGTGAAAGTGGCTCCCACCTATCACAACCTCACATATCTCCAATTGCCCTCATACAAGTGGGTATAGGAACATCCACAGGGCTCATGGGGTGTAGGTGGCTATCTGATGTAGGGTGTTGTAGCCAAAATTCCCCTCCATATCATGGCAATTGCAGAGCATGCAGCTGTGCGGTCAGGTCAGCCTATGGTATTAAAACATGAGGTTTGAAGGCGATGCCAGGTATATGCTGTTTCATGGTTAATGGAAGACACTTTCAAGGATCTGGGGCATGATGCAGTGAGACCTATAAATCTTAGCATTTTTATTATCTGTGCAATCCTTGGGTTATATGTCTGAATTAATATCATCAATTTACATTATTCAGTTGATTCACATGTGATAATCTTCTATTCATCAATAGTCCTGGAATGATTTACATACTTCCTGCCAGGGCACTGCAGTGCGGGGACAATTTTCCTTGTGACATTATTCATAAATAGCCATATTATTATTATTATACGGGATTTATATAGCACTAACAGCTTGCTCAGCTCTTTACAATATAACGGGAGACAATACAGCAACAATACAGTTAAATACAAGAGGGATAGGAGGGCCCTGCTCTTTGGAGCTTACAATCTAGGAGCCATATGGCATGATTATTTAATTGACACCTGGATGATTGGCAGATTTCTCTAAATCATGTGCTGGAAGGACTAATATAGTGGCATACTATCATTTCCAATTGGAGTTTTCCCGATATTCATTCATCACATCACTATTTCATGGCATGTTTCATTTAAGATGTTATGATGTTATATGTCAGTGGACCTTGGTTCACTAGACATCATAATGGTTTTAGTGACTCCCTGCCTCTCCTATAGAGCACTGATATGGTGCCTATTATCCCTTGTATAAGGGCAATTGGAGATATGTGAGGTTGTGATAGGTGGGAGCCACTTTCACTATTGTGACCATCTGTGCCAATTTATTGATTGCTGTTTGCATTTCATGCTTACTCTTGAGCCTGTCATCCAGACTATTCTTTCATATCATTCTATTCACCTCATGGTTCCTGGCACATCTGAGGTGCTGGGACTTCTCAGCACGGGCTGTCACCCTGGATACACCATAACATCTCCCATCTTCATGCCATTTTCTGTTGGTGGTGGTTGGGGGTCTGTACTTTATCTGAATTTAGGTTATTTTTATATTTTGCAATAAAATATTTAAATTTAAGCCACAGATTGTCCTCATTGGGACCCCTTGACCTTTGGACCCTTTTCCTTAGGTCTTTTTCCCCTTTTTTGCTAATATTGCAGCCTACTAGTCTGTAATTGTAGTACCTTCATTTGTCTTCTTTTGAGTTTTTTCCCCTTCACATTTAATTGGTGACCCTGCCAACACAACGTTTCCTGTGTGCTAGGGAGAAAACGCTCACTCACTGTACTGTATCTGCACCATTGTAACCTAAGACATCACTACACAACACCTCCTTTTCTCTTCTCTTTTTCATAGGAGAGGGATGTTTTGTAGTTCACAGAGAGCTGGGAACAATGCTAACTGATAAGAGTGCAGCACAGGCAGAGAGCTCAGGATGTTTTCAGCTCACTCAATTTCAAGCAGGATCATCAGATATCAAAAAGATTCAACAAAATGCCTTCACTTGTATATTTACCAGACCAAAAGGAAGCAAACAAAATAAGATCATTGTTGGAGTTTACATACACTTTAACAGTGATGTCACCCTCCTGACTAAGCAGGGCTGCAGGTTTTTGTAAAATGCAAGAGTTGATTCCTTTCAGGATCAATAGGTATTTTTTGCATGTATCTAACAGATATAACAAAACACTTCCAATGGTATATTTAAAAGATCAAAAGGGAGCAAATAAGAGAAGTGTATTATTAGGTTCACATACAATCAGGGGCGGACTGACCATTTGGAAACTCGGGCACTGCCCGAGGGCCCGGAGTCAGTAGGGGGCCCCATGAGATACCCCTGGTACCTTTTTCATAGGCTTTTTTGAGTTTGGGCAAGGACACAGGGGCCCCATGATCCTCTATTGCCCGGGGGGCCCCATGAGTTGTCAGTCCGCCCCTGCATACAATATTAGCCCTGTCCACTGTATCACCCTGGATTTACAGTCATGAGCCAGAATGTACATGCATAATATTATTTAGAAGCTTGATGTCAATCTGCTGTGTCATTGTTCTGGGACTTTACACACTCGGCTCCAGGTGCAATAAATCCAATTACCACAATCTAGGATCTCAAAAACAGACTTCAGTGGTTTGGCCAAGTTTTACTCCTTTTAGGTGGCACTAGCTGTTTTGAGAAATCTGCTAATCTGCAATGATTTATAAGCTTTTTGCATGCTGGGCAAAAAGTATTAGTGTTCCATCTTTGGGAACCCAAGCACCAGACTGCAGTTGTGCTACAAAGGACTGAGTATGAATATTTGCTTTATTAGGTTTTGTCTTTGAATTTATTTGTTTTTTATCTTTTCTGGTCAATCTTCATCTGTTTTTCCTCATTATAATTCTAGACAGCCTAAAATTTTAATATAATTTTTTTCAGACACGCTTTACAGCTTACAAGCTTCCCCAACTAGTCAGTATTTCAATAACTGTTTCAATAACTGAAGGAAAATGACTATGATAGGAGCAAGTAGGAGATGTACAAAAAAGTTCTTACCTGCAACTGTGCAATGTCATCAAGGTAGGTGCCAAAGAAGAAAGAGAGAGGGGTGTGAGTAAGTCATTAAATTTGACAATTTGAAATTAGGAAGGTATGGTAGAAGGATAAAAGCTTTAGATTAAAAGATTATAAAGAATGCAACATGTTTAGATATAGATCTTAGATAAGGGAAAAATAATAAAATTCCAACTCAACTCTCAGTTTAAATCACCTTAACGTGATACTAAAGGTTGGGCTTGGCCCCTTAGTTCCAGTGAAGGAAACTCTTAAGGTGTCAGCATACCAAGACATTTTGGACAATTTCATGCTCCCAACTTTGTGGGAACAGTTTGGGGATGGCCCCTTCCTGTTCCAACATGACTGCGCACCAGTGTACAAAGCAAGGTCCATAAAGACATGGAGGAGCGAGTTTGGGGTGGAGGAACTTGACTGACCTGAGTCCTGACCTCAACCCAATAGAACACCTGTGGGAAGAATTAGAGTGGAGACTGTGACCTTCTCATCCGACATCAGTGCCTGACATCACAATTGCGCTTCTGAAAGAATGGTTAAACATTCCCATAGACACACTCCTAAACCTTGTGGACAGCGTTCACAGAAGAGTTGAAGCTGTTATAGCTGCAAAGGGCGGACCAACTCAATATTGAACCCTATAGACTAAGGCTGGCATGACATTAAAATTTGTGGTAAGGCGTGTAAAGGCAGGTGTAACCAATACTTTTGGCAATATAATGTATTCCGATTCGAATCAGAAGGATTCGATATTTTTGGATGTTAGTCCAACCTGCCAAGAGAAATGGCATGAGCTGAATAGGCAATATTGACTGGTGTCATGTGCATCCCAATGAACGAATAAAACAAAATTTGGATCCACTCGTTAACTGAATCTGAATTATCAAAAAAAGTTAGAAAATGTAATTCTTTTCTCCATGGGTGTGAACTACTATTGCATCATGTGGTGTCATCTGAATGAAACAAATGAAACTAATGCATTAGTTAATTTCGTTATAATTTTTTTTTTGGATTCGTATACATCCAAATGACATTTTCGTAAAATGAATTGTGGTGAAACGAAACGCATATACCTATTCATATGCTCACCCTTGCACACTCTGGTGATGGGACCCTGATATTAGTTTTTACATCAGCAGTGCAAGACTGGTAACTGGTTTCACAGCTCATCTTTTGGATAGAATGATACATCTGTGAACACAGTGCTATGTGCATGGAGTTTTGTCTGAACTCAATGAAAGATTGTGGTACAGTAAAGTGGTCCTAAAAGGACCAAATGTCAGCATCCAAGTATTTAGTGCATCCCCTCCATTCATAGCTATTATTATTCTACAGTATTTATATAGCGCCAAAAGGTTTGCTCAGTGCTGTACATCATAGTGGGGGACAGTACATGAGACAATACAGTAACAAAACAATACACGAGGGGGTCAAGGGCCCTGCTCTTTTGAGCTTACAATCTAGAAGGAGAATATCTACTGTAGTTAGTGACTTTTAATATTCTGTAGCATGACATCATCCTAAGCTGTCAGGTAACACAGAGGGCCCATTCACATTCACACAAAAAGCATGTTTTACCACATTGTTGCAATGCACGGTGTGGTGGATTGCAGTGCTAGTCATTTTGATTGGCACCCTAAAGCACTATTATCAAAGTAGGCATCGCACCTGCACTACGTTGCATCACAACGCACATGCCATACGTCATACTGCCCTTGAAAAAAGGGGGCATATGAACCCACTTTATTAGTATTTTACATGTTTAGTTGCACTACCTTTTTCAGAATGGGCTGACGTTTCTTTTCTAAGAGATTCCCATCTCCTCCTAATCCATTTAGACCGGCAGTGGAAGGTTTAATACAAGTATGATAAATATTATAAGCCTACCTCCATTGCTTTGTGTATGTCTATTCTGGATTGGATTGTGGTTATTGTACTTTTCCTTGTCATAATGGTTGTGCGCTCAATAAACCTCAATTTGAAGAAAAATGGGCTGCCTTAATGCAGCATGCTCTAACACGTGATAACGCATTATGTTATCTCAACACATAATGTGAATGGGCCCATAGATTTTCTCACAGAAGTTAATTCCAGATTTAGCAACAACGTGCAGAGACGTTACTGTAATACAGTTCTTATAAGCCTGAGCCTTCTGATTTGGGTTAGTCTATCAAGACAATACAAACAGCAACTGTTTCCTATAATGACAAAGCAGGAGATATGGAAGGGCCTCAAATTAAAGTGCAGCTGAAATAATATAAAAAAACTCACTCCATTGCCTTCCTGATGAAAAGTGGATGTGCCTGGAATGCCATTACTGCCTATGGCTGGACCCCGCAGATACCAAAGATGATAAGAAATATGAAGACGGACCGAAGGCAACAGACTTGTTTGCATCTGAATTTGTTTATTCATGTACAGATTTCATTAGGAGAACAGGGGGTGGGTGAGTTTGTTATTTTACACTGTCCATCCAACTTTAACCATCTGACCTGTGGACAGTTTTTACCCCCTTTATGACCAGGGCATTTTTGTTATTCAGCATTGTGCTACTTTGAATGGCAATTGCTTGGTCATGCAACACTGTACTCAAATTAAATTTCTATATTTTTTTTCACACAATTAGAGCTTTCTTTTAATGGTATTTGATCACCACTGTTTTTTTAAATTTTTTATTATATAAATGAGCAAAAACAAAACATCCAATAAAATCTGTTATAAAACATATCCAATAAAATCATGTTTCTTCATACATTTAGGCCAAAATGTATTCTGCTACATGTGTTTGGTAAACGCAATCAGGTGTAGCTAATCACCTTCTCAATGGCACACAAAGCCATTTAACTTTCAACCGTGATCAGCTGTGGTCATTTTGATTAGCTCAGCATGAAAAGAGCTTTCCTGGAGCATTTCAGTTCTTGGTAGTGCAACTGAAGAAAACAATTAACTATGAGTGGCAAGGCACTGTCTATAGATCTCCGGGATAAAGTTGTGGACAGGCACAAGTCAGGAGATGGATACACTAAAAAAAATTAAATTAAAGGTTGCATCAATGCCTAGAAGCCCAGTAAAGTCTATTATTAAGAAGTGGAAGGTGTTTGGTACAACACAAAAACTCCCTGGATCAGGACGTCACTCCAAACTGGATGAAAGAGCCAGGAGGAAACTGGTCAGAGAGGCTACCAAGAGGCCTACAGCAACTCTGAAGCAGTGTAGGAATTTACAACAAAGAGTGGTCATTGTGTGCATGTGACAACAATATCATAAATTATCCACAAATATGGCTTGTGTGGGAGGGTTGCAAGAAAAAAGCCACTCCTCAAGAAAGGTCACATGCAGTCACCACTGAGCTTTGCCAAAACGCACCTTGAAGATTCTGAGGCCACATGGAAAACTGTGTTCTGGTCACATGAGACTAAAATTGAATTATTTGGCCTCAACACTAATCGATATGTCTGGTGGAAATCCAATACAGCTCCCATCCAAATCCCACCATTCCTACAGCAAAGCATGGAGGTGGTATTATCCTGTTATGGGGTTGTTTCTCTGCAGCTGGGACTGGAGCACTTGTCAGGATAGAAGTAAAATTCATGGGACAAACTACCATCAAATTCTTGAGGAAAATCTACTGCCCTCTGTCAGAAAGTTGTCAATGGGAAGGTTTATCTTCCAACATGACTATGACCCAAAGTACACAGCAAAAATTACCACACAGTGGTTGAAGGAGAAAAAGGCGAATGTCCTTGCATGGCCTAGTCAGAAACCCAGTCTTAAACCCCATTGAAATCCTGTGGAATGACTTGAAGACTGCAGTCCACAAATGGTCACCCTCAAATTTAACTGAACTTGAGCAATTCTGCAAAGAAGAGTGGGCAAATATTGCAAAGTTTAGATGTGCAAAGTTAGTAGAGACATATCCTAACAGACTAAAGGCTGTAATTAAAGCAAAAGATGGTTCAACATAATACCTACAAAAAGGGCTGATCCTTTTTCCAACTCAGTGATTCTGTTTTTGAATTTTTGAATTAATGTTAATTTTTTCTGACATGTTGGATCTTGGATGTTATAACACTGAATAAATACAGTAGAATGATAACAAAAACTGTGTCTGTCTTCATTTCAGGCTGCAAAGCAACAAAATGTGATTATTTTAAAGGGGGGTGATTCTTTTCTATACCCACTGTATATCTATATCTATATCTATATCTATCTATCTATCTATCTATCTATCTATCTATCTATCTATCTATCTATCTATCTATCGTAAGTACTAGCATCAAATGTAAGGGCTTTTCTTACTCATTTTTAGTAAAAGGAAGTTCAAAAACAAACAAATTGTCAATTTCACACACAGGGATTTTCAGCTTTCCATCCAAATAAATATATGTGCAGTCTCCTGGCTTACACATACATCACCATAGCTCAAGCTTTACTCCTTAAGCCCTGGTCTGTCTCCTACAGACATGACAGCATACCACTCAGGACCTCTCTCAACAGCTTGGTCCACAAACTTGGCAGCCACTTTCTGCTTCAGCTCCAATCTGTACTCCTAGGCAGAGACCTCCTCTGTCTGCCAGGGTAGAGCCCAGAACCCCAGTTAGGTTATTACTTAAAGCCCTGCACACACCCGTACAATTAGTATGCTGGTGGTTCACAAAACATGGACCCAGGATTGTAGATTTCATCCCTCCCATATCACTTTGAAACTTCCAACCTCCAGGTCCCAAAAGTGACTTTACGAACAAATGAGGAAACTGAAAAGCCAGTTTCCTCTGAATTAAGCAAACCCCCTGGAGCCCCTCCACCTGCTTAGTCGAGAATCCGGGGATATAACTTTGATTCACACCATGGGAGGGCCCAGAACTGCCAATATATATACAATATTTATACAATATATATATATATACGAGCAGCACAGTGGCTAAGTGGTTGGCTCTTCCATCTGGCAGTACTCGGGTCGGTTTGAATCCCAACCACGGCACCACCTGCCTGGAGTTTGCATGTTCTCCCTGTGCCTGCGTGGGTTTCCTCCGGGTACTCTGGTTTCCTCCCACACTCCAAAGAGATGATGGTAAGTTAATTGGCCCTAGTATGTGTATGTATGAATGTGAGTTAGGGACCTTAGATTGTACACCCCTTGAGGGTTAGGGACTGATGTGAATGTACAATATATATGTAAAGCGCTGCGTAAATTGATGGCGCTATATAAGTACCTGAAATAAATAATAAATATATATATATATATATATATATATATATATATATATATATATATATATATATATACACATACATATATAATGCAGATCTGTCAAGATTAATTAGCAAGAAGAATCTCTGAAAAGCTGGCCAGAGAGTTCAGAGGTATTGTGAGATGTGAATAGAGGAATGTAACATACCTTCCACATAGCTGCTTCCTTTCCATATACAACAGCCATATTTCTGACCTTGTTGAGAGCTACTTGTTGGCGCTCGGTTTCATTGAGTTCATCAGTCACAAATCCCATAAAGGAATTATCTGGAGTGTGAGCTGCAGAACAAGACACAAAACAAATAGTCCACAAGCAGAGGTATATCTCACTGCAGCATTGCGTGAGGAGTACTGGGGGGATAGCGAGCAACAAACATAGTGCATGGGCACAATTACATCACCACAGTAAGTAGCCAGCATGTAGTCCATGCTCAAGGGAAAAGCACCTGAATGAATGGATAGCAGTCCTAACAGTACAATGAAGATGCAAAATCATAGGTAAGCACAGGTAACAGCAGCAGTGCCATGCTATGATATAAGTGCAACAATACAGCTGTGTTGATGGCAATTAGAAGGCTAGCATAGATGATGGTGAAATTCTGAAATTCCTTGCATACATCTTTATATACAGTCCCCTTTTCACTATTTTCTCCTTCCTCCATTGGTCCAATGTTTTTTCATCCTTATGCTTGCACCTCAGCTGTTAGTTTATCTACTACCTACTACCCCATCTACCTTGCCAAGCACTCTCCATACATGATATATCTGCTGCCATAGCTAACAACGGACACATCAGTTCATGACTGGTGTTTTTTAAAGTGTGCTTAAAGTAAACCAACACTCAGAGAACTATGGGGACTATCATTGCTGAACTCCTTGGTGAAAATGTTAGTTGCCTGGCCACTGCTAGCATCAATACCAGATCACTGACCTGGAACAATCATACAGATCAAAAATGTTCAGACTGAAACAACTTGGAAAGTTTTAAAGCAATTAAATCTGCAAGACAGCCATGGAAATGGGATGTTTAAAAATAGGAATCAGCAATAGCAGCATCAAAACGTCAGTATACTGTACATTTCCTTTAAGGCAGCTTAAAGAGCAGAACTCAAGAAGCAGAAATTCCCTATCTTATAGGGAACAACAGGAAATGGTAATTGTGTAAATAGTACCCTGAAATTTTACCTTTTGTCTTTAGTCCGTATAAAAAAAGTTCACTTTCTAGCATGTGATTGGCCTAAGCACTCCTACGCCTACAGCCTCATGGCTTTATATCTGCAGTGCACAAGGCACTGCCATCTGACTGCTAGTCTCACAGTGAGATTTCATGTCACTACTGTGCTGCTTGCTGGAGAGTAATTCGTACCTGTACTTGCACTTGATGCAGTTATCTGCTTCTGCTTCAGGAATTCTGTACATGTTTCCTCTACCTCGTCTGTTGCTTCTTGAACATTACCCCACCAGTCATCAGATAACCAATTACCAGGGAGGTCAGCTCTGATATTGGAAAGAGGAACCCTTCCTTTACTAAAGTGGTTGCCTCCATACAGACAGACATAAGATATGGATAGTCAATTTGAGGGGAAAGATCAGCTGCAGAGAGTCTATAGGCAATACTAATGACTTGCCCTTCTAATTCATTTCAATGAGCAGGGTATCACAGGACATACTCCTAGTATAAGTGCTGTCTGATCACATGAATATTTGTTAAATCCGGTGCCATGAAAATGACATCAGTGTTATCAGTAAACAATTGGTGTGCAATTCCCAAAAATGCATAATTAACTATATATGCACTGGCTGCTGTTACTAAAGATAACAGTATACTGTATTAGTGCTTTATAACTCTGAATATTTCCAATGTTCACTGCTGCAGTAAGTCCTTCCATTTCATCTACACTGGTAGTGTATGGACGGTGTTGCCCTATTATTGCCCCTTCTAGCAACAAACAGGCATTTTCCAAGAGTGGATATCTGATTGTTTACAATGGCAACATACACCATTGTCAGGGTCCAGAGCTGAACCAGTGACCTCTGTGATGTCTGGCTGTAGCTATTCTTGCTTACCACCTAAGATACTGGACAATTCCCTGTCTGATCTCTGAGGACAATCTTGCCTTGACTCTTGTTCCTGCTGAACTTTGAACTCTTTGCTGCTTCCATGAACTTCCTAATTTAAGCCATGTCTCTGCACTTCTTGTTTCCTGATTATTGTGCTCTCTGCAGCTGATATCTTGCTCCTTTTTATACCTGCAGCTGTCCTTATTTCCACTACCATTCATTATCGACCGTTGGCTTGTTCCTTGACTATGCTTCTGCTTGATCGCAAACTGCTATCATGTGTTACTGACCTTTGGCTTGTTTACTGACTATGCTTCAGCTTGATCTCAACTTGCTATATCTGCTACTGGACCCTGGCTTGGTCACCTCCTGGTGGGGTGATCTGTGGACTGCAACCTGGTACAAACACACAGCAAAACCCATCTCCACCTTCAGGAGCTTTGGTGAACACTGGTTATTGCTTAGACCTCACACCTAGGGTGAGCCCCTGTCATCCGCCAGGGTGACCTACTTGTACACTTATTCTACTGGTCGGTGGGAGCCTCTCTGTGGCTATAGCTACTGGTCTCTGAGCCTAACCCCTGACCATGACAACCATTCTTCTCCAGTAGGTGACACTATTTTAATTACATAATTAAAGGGAAATACTATTGCCTATCACACAGTTTAGGGAATAACACCTTGAAAATGTGCTTTATACAAAACGTACATATAATAAAGGATGCAACGCAAACCAATAATGTAAACATCAAGCTACCTTTGCAAATCAACAAACTGAAAAACATGTTTGCCATGTTGCATGCTTGGATGTCAAATGGGTTCAATTCACCCCCCCATAACTCTATTCCCAAACTCACGGAACATTGTCATGAACTGTTTGGGATGTAGATTCCAGTAGCCCCAGTTTGTGCGGTAGCCATGGAGCGTGGCATACTCTTCGTGGTTGTACGCTGGTTCTGTCCCAAATGTGTCCACCACGCGCAGACGGCACCTGCAGGAGGGGGGTGTTCATGGTGTGGACCCTCACTGTAAGGGGCCAAATGTCGGTGTGGACTAGAGGGCAGGGATATTTTATTAAAAGAGTTTTCCACTTTATATCAATAGTAGACTTCTGGTTTAGACTTGTCCATTGAGCCACACTGAAGGGTCCCCGCCTTCCATAATAAGTAACAGAGAAACTAATATTCTATTTTTTAAGTACTTTTTTCTATATTAAAGTATTCATTGGTAATATACAACCATCTAAATGACAAGCCATTATACTGATTTCATGATATGGTACAGGTAAAACAAGAGAAACCTCAACAACTTGTAAAAATGAGGAGCAACAGGCTCCTGAATCTTTGTTGTTTTACACAAAGAGGTCTCCAGTTAATTCACTTTTAGGCCCCTTTCACATGGGCATTCCGTTTTTTTCATCAGTTCAGTCATGTTTTTTCAAAGAAAAAATGGATGTGTTTTTCATCAGTTTAAATCAATTTCCACATCAGTTTTCCATTCGTTTTTCCATCAGTTTTTTACATCCACTACCAATGCAGAAATGGTCCGTTTGTCCCTTTACATCTGTTTTTTTGTCCGTTATGTTTTTTAAGGGCTTTGCTCTTCCAAAAACAGATGTTGGCAGATGTGGCTGTAAACGGATGACCATCCATTTATATTCATTTATCCATAGAGATGTATTGATGTTCATTCTTCATCCATCAATGGACGGATGAAAAAACGGACAAATGGAATGCCCGTGTGAAAGGGGCCTTATAGTAAAGTGGAAAAATCTTTAGCATTGATTGAAGGGAGCTAAGGGTGGCTGCAGTGAAGTCAGGTGTGTCCATTAGAGGTGAGCAAGAAGTCATAGGTCAACAGGAACAGTCTCTGACACAGTCTGGGAGTATTTTTAAATCTGTCTTGGTGTTTACCAATTACATCTTCCTCTCACCTGTACTTCCTGAATGACAGGCCCATGTGCTGCTTCATTTGTTGCATGCCATGATAGTCCGTGTAGATAAGATCAAAATTTAATGGTTCTGTTAGCGGGCAATTCCCTCTTCCAGGGGGGACACCTAAAAAACTGAGAAACATAGGATTGTTCCATTAGCAGAGCATGACCCCTAAATCTACTATACACACAGCAACGGTTTAAACAATTGAAAACACTGAAAATTTGGTGTACTCTAGAGACTCTGTTTTGTGAACTGCCCCATTTCCTATTGAATGTTCTGCTCATCAAAGACTGGCTCTTTATCCTACCCATAATGTAGCTCTAGATTATAGATTAAAAATCTTGAAACAAGGCCCTAAATGGGGCCCAACTATCAATTTTAGAATGTCCAGTTGTAAGTAATAAAGACTACACACTGCTGGGTGATTTTGAGAATAACATATGTAACAGTAAACTGAGAGGAACAACACCAGCAATACGAAAATACCTTAAGGTCCCAACACGTATTTTTTGTCAGTCAATAAAGACAGTTCCCTAGAATTTCTAATATGACAACTTTTCCTCTATACTTAGGTAACAATCCCCCAAATCTGGTGAACAACATAGCATCACTTTCATTTCTTTCTTGTTTGTACCTTCAGACATTAAAGAATGTTTCCCAATTAAACCATTTTTTTTACTTAGAATGGGGAAAGTTTATATGTTCAAAGACCCTTTCCAACAGCTTCTTACCAAGCCTGGCTAGGTACTTTTGGGAGTTAAAGTGGCTGGTTAGGATCAGTTTTTCTGATCAGTCATGATTGTTTTCCCTTGAGATGGTGAGGCTGGTGCTAAGCATTTCTCCAAATCTCCAACATTGGCCACACATGCACATGTACAATTTGCACGTTTTCAACAGGACGTTTACTTGGAGGGCATGCATGCACCACCACCTATAGTCTGTAGGCAACCTAACAGTCATCCATTCTAAATGTTATCACTAAGACACAGGTGAGTATGAATGGCTCCATGACCATTGTTACTACAGAGGAACATATTGGGTAGTACAGGCTCTAGTAATCCTCTATAACATCATCATGTAGCAAAGTCAACAGCACTGTCACTATCCTCACCTCTGGAGCTCTTTCACAGACACTGTTATTTTTAGACTGTGACCCAACACATACAGAGCTGCAAGGATATCTGCCCACTGCACCATCTCACCCAGGGGTCCACCTTTCAGCACCCTAGGACTGAACACATCACCAGACTCCTCTGTCAGAAAACCAATGTGAACCAGGATCTGGAGAGATATGGAAAATCTTTAGTTAGTTGTAGACTTCAAAACAGGTAGATAATTAACAACTAACACAACTATAGCAAGATAAACTAAAATGAGAGGTCTTGAGACCTGTTTCTGCTCATTAGGTGTACTCTGAATCTTGGCCTCCAACCTCCGAGCAGCCAACAGCCACTGAGCCTCCAACCTCCTCAGCCTCTTCTTCATGAAAATAAGAGACTCCTTTCCAGTTCCCATTAGATCCAGAAGAGATGAGAGCTCTGTGCGAAAAGCAGCCTAAGAAAAAGGAACAAGTGACAAACACTGAGAGGTGCACAAAAGTTATGCAGTCAAATAGAGTTGAAAATAGTTAGAGCAATGGCATAGGGAAAGCTAAAAGGGTTGAGGAGTCTTTGAAGACTTTGCCATTTGGTACGAGGAGAGGATATGTGTTAGAAAAGGAGTCGATACAGAGATGAATCTTTGTGCTTGGGTTTTTTAGTGTGTGGAGGCTTACTTTTTGTCTATAATCATTAAATTGTGTAATACTTGCATTCGGTCTGTAAAGGTCATCTGGGCAGGGAGGAGCCAATTTCCTTAGATGCATTTCTTGGCTGCCAGAATACAAAGGAGCTCTAACCTGGTGGGGGCAGAGGCTGAATCAGGGCTAGCGAGAGGAAGAAAATAAAAAAGGGCTAAATGTGGAGTAGGATCTTTAGAATGACCAGGGTGTAGTGACCTAAAACCAAACAACGCCAGAAGGCCATCAATTGGGGACAGATCCATAATAAATGCTGTAGTGCACTACACTGGTGGTGGCATTTTGTACACTTATTAAGTGGCGTTTACATTGTAGTCACTCGAGGGCAAGGGGTTAAAGTGATGTTTTATTCATAGTACTTTATAGGTCATGACTGCTTGCTGCCTTCAGACCAAAGGATTTAAAATATGGGTAGTGTACATCCGTCTACAATATACAACTGTCTCATCATATGCGGGAAATCAAACTGTTCCAGCAGTCTGCTCTCATCTTTATTGCCAACAGCTCAGTGTAAAATAATATATTCAAAATAAAAAGACCTAGTCAGAAAATGATCCTGTCTACACTTGCAAGAAAAGCATTTAATGTATAATTCCCTCCAGGTGAACTATATCAATTCCACACTCTACTGACATTTTGTACCTTCTGAGTTGCCTTTTATATGTGTACTTACCGTGATGTATGCTCAGAAGTTTGAAAAACCCTAATAAAACTTTATTCTTTAAATTAATTTGCTTTGCAAATGTTTTAGCGTTTGCATGAAAGTCGCAAATAATCCATGTAATGTTTGTAATATGTGTGAGACATCAGTTACCCTAACATTTGATCCTGAGAACAAAAAAAACCTTAAGAACATTCAACAAGAAGAGTTAAAGTGGTTATAAACCCTCACATATACCCAGTGAAGTGAATGGCCACAGGTGATACACAGACTATTCTAAAAACATACAGTTCAAAGGATTTTTTCTCAGCTCTAGCATCAGGGAACAGGGATCTCAAGTCTCGGTGCAGATCCCAGTCAGGAAAGCTCTGAGCCCTTATTGGAGGGAAGGGACACACCCCCCTTCACATACTACATAGAGAACATGCAGACCTAAGGATATGAACCACAGACTATGTGCTGCAGCTCTCCTTTCCATTACCTGTTTATTTCAATTTATCTCAGAAGTGACTAATGCTAGTAGCAGAGGAAGGAGGAAGCAGAGGGAAATCGCCCTCAGTGCTTTGAATAGAGGCAAAAACACACTATAGATGAATGTGCTTTGTTCAGACCCCCTGGAGTGTAAAGAACATCCCCAGGTTGTATGGACTGAAGTCATATGTCATAATATGTCATAAGTCATATGTCGTATGGAACCAAAGTGTGATTTTTTTGACAGACCTGGGGGCCAAAACAGAAGGGTCACTCTTAAAAACATTAAACTACGGCTATGGTTTTTTTTTGGTTTTTTTTTAGAGAAAGTGGACCTCAAACTCATGACGTCTCTGCCCAGGACTGCAAATTGGTGGGAGATGATTGAGGGGGAAGAGGACCAAGTACATCACATCAACAGCTAAAGTCACCAGAACAAGGTGATTTAAAAAATCTGCTGTCAGGAGCTTCAAAGGGGAATGGGGTCCTCTTGGGAGGAGAGCTGGATTTTAACCACTTCTGTTCGGCCCATGTATATAAAGTGTCGGATAGGAGCAGTGCAGGAGCGGGTTCATAAATGGCGCCCGCATTTTCAGCCTGTGTGTGCTCCCTGGGAGCGCGCGGCACACCAATCGCTGTACGGGACCTTTGTGTGAGGTCCCGATCATGTGATCACTGATTGGCCAATCAGTGATCACATGAATAGTAGTAAACAAGATGTCACTTCTGACATCATTGCTTACTACGTGTAAAATCTGTGAATTCACAACAGCCTTGTACCATGTGACAAGCTGTGACCAATCACAGCTCTCACAGTATTTCTCAATGGCTGCAAGAATGCAGTCAGAGAGAAGGAAAAATTATTGCTTTTACAGCCTTTATGGGTGTAAAAGCAATCAGTGTAAAAAAAAAAAAAAAATCATCACCCCCCACAAGTAGTCAGTATCACTATGTACTGCTAGGGTGACAGTATGTTAAAAAAAACCCATAAATAATAATATAAAAAAAATAAAATAAAAATGTAAAAAAAAAAATTAGAAAAATTATAAGTTTTGGTAATAAACTAATTTGGGTTTTTTTTCTTACTAAAAAGATAGCTGAATACATTTTGGCCAAGATTTATGAAGAAAAAATATTTATTTGCAAAATTTTATAAGAAAGACCCTTTTTTTTAAAAAATTTGGACTTTTTCATTTATATAGCAAAAAATAAAATAAAAATCCCAGTGGTGAATCAAAACCACCAAAATAAAGTTTTATCTGTCACAAACAAATGCGAAAAAATTCATATGGGTACAGTGTTGCATGACCGCGCAATTGTCATTCAAAGTGTGACAGCGCTGAAAGCTGAAAATTGACCTGGACAGCAAGGGGGTAAAAGTTTCCCGGCTTGAAGTGGTTTAAAGAGTAGACCAAAGTCTTAGGATAAATATTAGAGCTTTCATTGTTTACTTATGAAAACGCCTGGCTATCATGCTGACCCTCCAACATTAATAGGTATGCAGATGAGAAAAGTCTGAGTATAATCAGCAGTCCTTATTGACGTACTTGTTTTAGGTTAGTGAATCAAAGTATTGAAAGAGGGTCATCATTACAGTTAGGCAACTAGCATTCGTAGAACGAGAACTTAGCGATTGCCTCTATAAAGGTGCATAGTAAATGATCTGTAAGTAAAAACTTATGTATGTCAAATGCCAACTCTGGCTCAAGAGATGCATTGAATATTTTCTGTCTGGTGCAAACGAGTGTGCTGATTTTCCAAACAGCTCATGTCTAAAAAAAAAAGTTTTTCCTAAACCCTGCATAAATAAACCAATTTTAGCATTCTGAACTAGCAGGATCAATGATGCCAACGTGGTGCAGGTTTTCCTGTGTAGTCTATGAGCTCCTACAATAAGGAACTAGCTGATACTTGACAGCCCAGTTAATATACTTTTTAATAGATATCATTGTCCCTAGGTCATCTATTCTGTTCACACACATTGTCCATTTAAAGGGATTGTACTGTTAAAACACTGGAATCCTAAGACCACAGAGCATAGGCTCATATGGATCACCTAAATGAGCATCAAGTGCAACCTTTCTCTGCGCATGGACAGTCATATTCCCTGCACGCTTTCACTCCAGGTTGTCTGATCCCCCTTTAGGGAGCTCAGCAACCTCACAGATGTGAGTACACCATTGCATTTGACCTTTACTTTCTATATTCCATCTTATTATCTGCTAAACCACTGAACCATAAAGAACTCTCCCGCAGCCTCTGTCTCTTTTCTTTTTTCTTCTTATCTTTGGAGGCACCCCAGTTATAAAGGGAATGTAGTTTGCGAATAATTGTCTTTCATCATCATGGTAAGCACTAAACAATACAATGTTTGAAAATATTTTAAGCAAGTAAATATGAAATACTATATCTGAATATCACATATTGACCACTCGTGGCCAACAGGTGGCAAAAATAAAGCTATTTCTCCAGGTTCTAACTGGGCTTGTTTACTGCTACACTGTGAATAGCCTGTGCTGTGAATTAAACTGAATAGAAGTTGATTACAAATTACAGAGCATAAAGAAAACAAGGTGATCCCCACATGGAAGAAAATATATTTGAAATATATTTTGAAAATATATATTTCTTAAATATTTTAAAAATATTCTCCCCAAATATATTGACATGTATTTGAAATGCTACAATTTTGGCCATATTGAATATATTTCAAAATATATTTCAATAAAAAAAAAATATATATATATATACACTGTATGTTGAAATACGTTTTTATTAAATCTTCTTTGTAGGTGGCATATTTTTGACTTCTTTGATTTTAGCAACTTAGTCATTTAGAAAAAACAAGGGGGGAATAGAGGGTGTGCTTCCCATATGGAAGAAAAATATATTTTAAATATATGTTAAAAATATTCTTTCCAAATATATTGACATATATTTGAAATGCTACAATTTTGGCCATATTCAATATATTTCAAAATATAAGTAAATATACACACATATATATATATATATATATATATATATATATATATACACTGTATGTTGAAATGCATTTTTATTACAAAATATATGAAATATATTTTTAAAAATACATTTCAAAAAATACACATCTACATTTTTGGAATACATTTACAAATATATGTAAAAATATATGTTAAAATTACTTTTTTTTATATGTTAAAACCAATCTGAAGAATATATTTTAAAACAAATTCTTCAGAGTTTTTTTAACATATAAAAAAAGTCATTTTAACGTATATTTTTACATATATTTGTAAATGCATTCCAAAAATGTAGATTTGTATTTTTAAAGACATACAGTATATTTGAAAAGCATTTTAAAATATATTTTTTCATATATTTTGTAATAAAAACTCATTTCAACATACAATATATACAGTATATATATATATATATATATATATATTTATTTATTTATTAAAATATATTTTGAAATATATTGTATATGGCCAACATTGTAGCATTTCAAATATATGTCAATATATTTGGGAAGAATATTTTTAAAATATATTTCAAGATTGGTAAACATACCAAGAGACACCTTAATATATTTTTATTCCATATGGGAAGCACACCCTCTATTCCCCCTTTTTTTTTTTT